GTTGGTGTGGCTCTGGCCTGGATACTGGTTTGATTCCCTGCTCTGAACCTTAGACAGTAGCTTCTCTTCCAAAGGCCCAAGGTCTCTGGACTCATGTGGTTACCTCTATCCATGACAGCATTGGGACTGTGCCACCTGGAATCCCACTGTCCCCAGCCCCGGGTGATGAACTGTGGCTTTTCTACAGTGACTTTGGTACTCTCTAACCCCCATCATTGTCCTGGCTCTCTAAATGCTAGTATTAAAATAACTAGATAGGGCTGGAGAGATGGTTCAGTGGGTAAAGCGCTTGCCATACAAGCATGAGGACCTGGATTTGAATCCCAGGAACCACATAAAAACTGAGTGCACGTGGAGAGCATCTATAATCAAAGTGCTACTGGGAGATGGGAGGCAGAGGCCAGAGAATTCCTGGATGTTCAAAGCCCAGCTAGCCTGAGACAAACAGCAGGAAAATAATAGAAACCCTGTCTCAAACAAAGTGTGTGCCATGGCATGCTCATGTCCACATAAACAGGTGCACGTACACACAAGCACACACATCATAAACACACACACAGACACACACTAACCAGGCCAGTGAATCCCAGCCATTTTGATGCAGGCTCATGTGTTTGTGGTGGGTGATGATGACTGTCAGTGAGGTGGTTGGAGCTCCGTCTCCGGGGCCGGGCATACTAATGGTCCCACTGTAAACCAGCTTGATTCGGCTTTCTGTTTTCCCTTTCATCATGGTAGTCACTACCTGATCTCTAAGTCAAGGGCAATAAATTCAGAAAGATGACAGGGAGGTGGGCTCAGAGGGACCTTAGGAAGAGGGAGGTCTTTTACAATTGGCCACTGGGCTGGGGATAGCTTAGTTGGTAGAGTGCTTGCCTGACCCTGGGTTGGACGCCCCCCCAACATCATGTAAACTGGATGGTAGTTCACTCATTGTGAACAGGTGAGTGCCTTTTGGTTTACAAAGTCTGAATTTGGTTTGAAATACCTTTTTTCCTCTTATCTTATTTGGTATCACAGATTTTTAAAGTTAAAAGTCAACTAAATTAAACAGATTCAATGCATTTTTAGAGGTGTTCATGGCCCTTTTTCAATGAACTGACTGACCAGGGATGGATAGAGTGGCTATGTTCCTCACCAGCCATCAGATGGGGCTTCTCTTCTAGGCCGAGGTCAAACTTCTAGGCAGCATGCCCTCTTGTCTTTCCTACCTCATAAAGTTGAAGAACAAGACCTTCACCATTCCTCTGCCAGCCCCTGGCTCCCTCTGAGGGGTCTCATCTTCAGAGAGCCTTCCAGACACATACCAGGTCATGTCCATCCCAGGCTGCACAGATGGGGTGGAGTAGGATGACAAGTGGGGACCCTTTTGTTTAAAAGGGAAAGCTCAAGGGTAGCACAAGCTCTGTCTTCACAGATGAGAGACAGGTCACCATGAAAGAACCAGTGTGTCAGGTATGAAGGGACGACTAACAGTGACAGCGCAGACTGTCAGAGTGCAGCTTGGCACTGGCCACTGCTACCTTTTGAGGGGGTGAGCCCTCTGTCACTAGAGGCATACAAGTATCTGTGAGGAATATTGAAGAAGGATTCATGACTGTGGGAACCAGGACACTCTATGCCACCCAAGCCTATTACCCCTCAACTCAGAATCCATGACAATTCTAATAATTGCTTTAAATGGGGGGCTGGGAACTAGGAAAGCAATGAAAGGAGTTCATGGAAGTAAGGACCAAGCTATAAAAAAAATCTTCTTTATTTCATGTACCAGGATTTTTTTTTGTTTGTTTGTTTCGTTTGTTTGGTTTTTTAAAAAATTTTTTTCTGTTAACAGTCTGAAAAAAAATGACCCACCAAGAAAATAAAATGGAAGTTGGTTTCTTGAACTGGTTAGAGCTGGATGAGAGCAGTCAGTCACCATGAGAAACATCGATCAGGGTCCCGTCCCACCCCCTTCCCTCCAGGTCCCCTAGCCCTTTCTTGGTCAGACATGCTGATGTCACCTCTCACTCCCAAAGTCTTCTTTGAGTGGCCTTGCCACAGGTCTTGCCGTCTGGGAAGACATTGGGTTGCTGTTCAACACTTAGCCTGGAGCTCAGGGGGCTAGGGCTGGGTTTCCTCTGCAGACACGGTGCTTGCTTGCTGCCTCTCTCCTATGTCTCTAGGCCTTGATCTATGTGGTTTGAAATCTGGTGGGGCGTGGGTAGGCTGGGTGGGGAGGGATAAGTTGACGTTTCTGCCTAGTCTGGAACATGCTTGGTGCTTACTGCCTGTTAACTGGCCCCGATCTCCAAGTCCTGGGGCCCCTGGCCTCCCCTGCACGTTGGGCCAGGTTGGCAGGTGGGCTGCCTTGTGCTGGGGGCTGGAATTTTTGGCTCTAGCCACTGCTGACCTGGGAAGAGAACTTCCATCTTTCAGACGTGAGAGGAAGCTACAGAAGCCTCATGAGGTGTGCCCTCCAACTACCAGAGAGCTCTATCAGGGAACCCTCAGAGCACACCAGTGGTAAAGGACAGAGACTGGAGCCTGGGTGCTGCTGGAGGTGCAGGACCCTCAGGCCAGCTGGGGACAGGAGTGGGCAGTAGGGGTGGGGCTCAGGCTGCTAGGAAATCCCTAGCTTGGTTTTCACTGTCTGAATTGGCCCTTGTCACTCTGGGGAAGAAAAGGGGAAACTGAGTGCTTTTAAAATTCATTCTGGGGCTCAAGTCAAACTTTGGGATGAGGCGCCCCTGGAAGCATACTCTACGAGCACTCTTCGTAGAGGGAGATCTTTCACCCCAGAAGACCTACTCTTTCACTGACCCCCAAACACAGCAGGGGGCCACTGTCTCAAAGAAGCCTCCCTAATTCAATAAAGGATAGCAGTTGAGGAGCGGCTTTGGGGACTATGTGTCTCCCTCTCCCTCTGTCTGCATGGCAGGATAGGTTGGTTTACAGGTGTGATTTTTTGTTTTGTTTTGTTTTGTTTTTTTGCTTTGACACTGGATGTTGGGTGGGGGCTGGGGAGCACAGTGAGGAGGTATATGAAATGTATGTGTGAGAGGGACAGAGAGAGAGAGAGAGAGAGAGAGAGAGAGAGAGAGAGAGCGGAGAGAGAGAGAGGAGAGAGAGATTTAGGAATGCTTTTAATGTCAATGAAACTCTTTGACGATCCCTGCCATTTTCCTCTGGGCTGGTGGCAGATCTTAAAAGTTAGGGACACGCAAGGTAAGAATGGGCCTTTGCAGTTCACATGGGTCTGTCTACAAGCTGACACAGGGGGAAGCTGAGGCCCAGAGAAGCCACATAGCAATAGAGTCTAAAATGCAGATGGGAGCCCTTTCATGTATGTGAGTGTGGTATGTTCATGCGTGTGCATGCGCATGTTTGTGAGGTACGGTGTGAGGGCACATGGGCACATAAAGGCCAATGTGGAGCTGGAGTTGTTGGGTTGGTTTCTATGGCTAAGAGGATACCAACCAGCTGCCTCTGAGCCACACCACTGGCTGTGTCAGGTGGGAAGGGTTTGCGTTTGTGTGACTGTGTTTGTTGAAGTGCTAGGCTTAGGGGACAGTGGATGTGTGTGTGTGTGTGTGTGTGTGACTGTGGGCAGAAGGTGGGGAGTCTCATTTCTCCATCAGCAGCACCTTCCTACAGTCAGGAAGAGACCTCCAGTCCTCTGAGAGATGGTAGACCCTTTCTCCTCTCTCTCCGGCTCTGTGTTTATCCAATGGGGTTTGTTTATGTTTTTTAAAACGGATTTCTATATTTGTTTTCTGTTTTGTCTTTACAAGTTCCCTGCTAAATTTTAAGTCCCCCACCCCACCCCGTTTTGTTTGCACAGTTTAAAGTTGGAAAAGAATTAAAAGAAAAATACTATTTGATTTTCTTGCAAGTAAATCCACTTATTATATATTTACATTTATTTATAGTCTGTGGGTTTTTTATTAAAAAAATCACCACTTGTTTTTCCTTTTTCTTTTGTAAAAAGAAACCTTTTTGCAGTGTCATTGTTGAACTCACTGGGCCCCCAGGGGGGTGTCAGTGAGTCCAAGGACCCCCGAAGGGTCAAAGAGCCCCCTTCCCAGGGGACTTGGGGGCCTGTAAGTGTGGGGGTCCACCATCGCCCCAGGGTCATCGGGTGGCCCTGAGGCGAGGGGTGAGGAGGGATGGCTGCTCTATAGCCCCTGGGGGTGGGCATCTCCTGCCTTCAAGGACAGGAGCCCAAAGGCTCCCCCTGAGGATTCCAGGGATTTGGCTTCTCGGTCAGCCATCCCTTCTCCTTCCCTTTCCTCAAGGCCTAGGAAGTCATCACAGTGGGTTAAGGACCATTAAGGACTGGGAACCTGGGGCTGCACAGCCCCAAGTGCACCTGCCTCCAGGCACCTAATGGACAAGGGGGGGACCAAGGGCTTGGGTCACGTGGAGGCCTGCAATTGCCCCACTGGTGCTGGGTGGAGAGTGCTATGGAGCCTCTGAGCTCCCCCAGCATCCCAGGGCCCCAGCCAGGGACCCCAGGGGCCTGGCAGTGACCGCAGCTCCCCTGGTCCTAGGGACCCTGAGTCTCCACCCCCGACTCTCCGTGGGAGGCAAGGCCTGCTGGGGTTAAAGGGAACAGAATGTATTTTTTTTAAAAAAACTCTCCCTGCAGTTAAAACAAAAACAAAAATAAAAACAAAGGCAACATAAAATCCTAATAAATACTAAGGTCATCGCTCTTCATTTCTTCTTCTTCTTCTTCTTCTTCTTCTTTTTTTTTTTTTGCTTTACATTATCTTGGTTCCCTTTTATTTTTTCATTTAAATTGGTTTTTATTAAATGTTAAAATAATGGTACATGGGAAATCATGCATTTTCTTTTAGATTTATTTTCTATTTTAATTTTATCCCTCTCGCTTTGTTTTAAAGTTTGCATGTCTTCCCTCGGTTATATTTTCCCGCATAGCCTGTGGTTTTGTCTTTTGTTCATTTGTATTTTGTTCTTTTTTTTTTTTTTTTTAATTTGCTTGTTACGTTTTTCTCTTTTTTTTTTGTAGTTTTTTGTTTTTATGTTTGTTTGCTTTTTTGCGTGTGGAAGGTCTCCCTGTGGGTGCTGTGGTCCCCGCCCGCCGCCCGTGGGCCAAGCCTCCCGGGTCCACCCCGGGTCCCACGGTCTTCATACGAGGGTGGTCCGGCGGTTGGCTGTGTTGGCGTGGAGCGAGTCCTTGCTCTCCTTCTGGATACAGTTGTGGACTTGGAGGAAGCTGTCCGAGTTGTAGGTGGCCGTGGGCGTGGTGGCAGCCTTCAGGGGGTACATGGAGATCTCCGTGGATGGCAGGGTGTTGAAGACCTTCATGCCCACGGGCGAGGCGTCCCTAGAGTGGGAGGGCTCTGTGGAGCGGGAGCTGGAGCGGCTGCGGCGCTGATAGCGGTAGCGGTAGCTGGGGATGCGGGTGATGGCGGAGGCCTGGAGGTAGTCGGTGGTGCGGGCTGTGGCCCGCAGCTGTTTGTGGCGGTCGATAAACATGTGTACAGCCAGCACCCCGACCATCTCCGCGATGATGAAGGACAGGGCCCCGAAGTAGAAGGACCAGCCATAGGAATAGCTGTTCTTTTTGGAGTCGCTCTTGGAGGGGTCTCCAGCATTGGCTGATATGTACACAATGATCCCGATGATGTTACTCAGACCTGGGGAGAAGAGGTCAGAGACAAGGGGTGAGTTGTCAGGAGGAGGACGTCTCCAGGTGGGACTTGATTTTGTGTTCCAGGAACAGAGGGCCCACGGGAGCGGGGTACCACTCCCTTCACTTTAATGCCTTAATTTTTTTACGTTAATTTATTTGTGTGTGGGAGGTGGGCACTAGTGTCAGAGCCTGTGTGTGAGGTGAGAGGACAACTTTTGGGAGTCAGTTCCCTCCTTCCACTCTGTGGTCCCTGGTATGGAACTCCAGTCATCAAGCTTGGTAACTAAGCCCCTTTATCTGCAGAACCATCTTGCCAGCCCTGACTTAATATGTTATCATGCTAATGATTCAGAGAGCCTGAGGGGAAGGGCAGATAGCAACAGCCCAGGGAAGACAGAGGTGCTCTATGAAGCATGGGTCACAAAAGGGACAGATACTGCTTACTGAGCATGTGACTAACTGTTCTCTACCCCCTCCTCTACAGTTTGTAGACAGGAAACAGCACAGAGAGGTTAGCCACCTTGTTCAAGGCAGCAGAGGAACTGGCAGCTGCAGTAGCAAGGGGCCCCAAAGCCTTTGGCAAGTGACCTTGGTCTGAGATTCCCACTCTGTAAACTGGGACAAAGACCTTAGTCCTGCCGGACCCAGGGAGTGAACACCCGTGAGTGCTCTTGGTAAGAATATCCACCCTGGGCCTTGGTAAGCACCACCAGCCAGACTTAGTGGCTTATGATACAGTTCCTGTTGTATCATATCTGAAAGAGGGGTGACCGGTCACATAACAAACAGCTTAGATATCTGACTACAAAGCCACCTGCTCCACTGGCTAGAATGGCAAAGCAAGGGACAGATAGTCTTCTTGGCTTCCAGGGTGGGCATCACATGGGGATCAGGGAAGGGTAGGCCCTTAGTTGGCCTTTTTCTGCCTCCCCTTGGTTTGCTTGTGCTGGGAGGGTGGAGGGCTAATGGAGTGGGCCTGATACCCTGAGAGGAAGTAGAGTGTAGGCCCCTTCCCCAGTGATAGGAGGAAGATGGGCCACTGGAGGATGGGGGCACTGGGACATCCTTGGATTACAACTTTGTTCAGCACAGGAGCTCCCCTCAATCTTCCCCTGGGACATAGCCTGTTGCCAGGACAGGAGATACCCCCTACCCCAGGTCCCCCCAGCACAGCTTTATTGCCCCCCACCCCACCCCCTAGTCCTTGTCCTCCCAATGTGCATTACCTGCAGACACGAAGAAGATGCCTGCGCTTAGGATGATGTTGTGGCGAGTCTTGTAGAACTCACTGGCTGCAATGCAGAGGCCACCCATAAAGAGCAGAATCACGCTCAGGATTGGGAAGATGCTTGAGGCCCTCACTGCACCTGTGGAACACAGAGCACTGAGGGTCAGTGAGGGAGAGAAGGGCTTGGCTGAGAGAGAGAGGAATGCAGGGGAAGCTGGGCAGGGGCGTAGACCACAGGGGCCAGTGCTACATGAATACAGTCCTGGGGTCCAGGTGGCTTAGGGTTATGAGGAAGGGAAGGAAGGAAGACCTCTCTGCCCAGCCGTACTCCCCCCACCCCCGGTGCTCCCTGTGACCTCCAGGAATAGATCCCAGCACTCTGTCAGACACACTCTGTGCCTGTATGACTTGACCTTTGCCCCCTCCAGCCTCTTGATCTCCATGTTCTCTTTGTCCTGGCACAGCCAAACTCCTAGGACATGTCGTTTCATGCTGTTGGCATTTCACGCACTCAGGTTCTTCCCGGGTTGTACTTCTAGTCTTCGATCAGCAAACTTCTACACATCCATCAAAGCCAGCTCAAACCCCCTTCTCTGTGAAACCTTCCCTGACCTCCTTACAGAGAGTCCTGAGTGCTTTCCCTTGTGCCTGGGCACATTGGGAGGCAGGTGCAGCCACAGGGCTTGCATTGCAATCTGTCTCAAGTTATCCTATGTGTCTGTGCCTCAGCAAAATGGGTGCTTCTAGCCTGTCTCCTAAGATCATTGTGAGGGTCAGTGGAGTCGATTCAGGCATTTATAAAAAAAGTTCATGGGGGCAAAGGATACTTTATTTATTTATTTATTTATTTATTTGTTTGTTTGTTTGTTTATTTGTTGTTGTTGTGTGTGTGTGTGTGTGTGTTTAAGCACATGTGCTACAGTGCATGTGTGGAGGTGAGAGGACAATTTGTGAGAGTCAGTTCTCCCCTTCTACCATGTAGGTCCCAGAGATGGAACTCAGGTCATCAGGCTTTACCCACTGAGCCATCTCACTGGCCCTCCATAATTGTTCACATACATATTTTCATGTAAGTCACAGAGCTCAAGGGGTTATGCCTTTATCGTTTCATAGCTTTCCTCTTTATTCTCTTTCCAAAGACCAAGGAGGCCACCAGTGCAAACTGAGTGAATAAATTTAAAGAAAGAACAGCGGACAAGATCCTTTCAGAGAGAAAGTGAAAATGAAACCCCCAGAGCCTTGGAATGAGGGCTAGAGGAAGGCCTGACAAACAGGACACACAGACAGAACAGAGGGGAGGGTGGCAGCTGGGGCGGGAAGAGGGTGCAGCACACAGGAGTGTTGCTGGCAGGGCCTGGTGTGTCTGTCTGTGGGGAGCAGCATCCGATGAACACCAGACTATGGTGACTCTGAGGTCTCTCCCTATCCAAGTCAGCCATATAGTGAGTGACCTCAGGAGGTCCCTGGAGTGTGGCCAGGCTGAGGTGGAGCTGCAGGCCAGGGATGCTGTGCTTAGATGTTATGACTGACACCCCTGTGACTTTTTTCCAGTGCTGGGGGTTGGACCCCTGCCCCTCACATCCTAAGGACGATGTGCTGTACCCCTGAACTACACCCCCAGCTTCTTTTTACTTTTCAAGACAAAGTCTCACTATGTTATTCAAGCTAGCCTTGAACTCACTCTGTAGCCCAGGTTGGCCTGGAAATTGTGATCTGTTTGCCTCAGCTTTCCGAGTGCTAGCATGACAGGCCTGTTCCACCAGGGTGCCGTTTGGAGGTAAAGTGTCAGGAATGTCCCTGTCCCTATTCCTTTGAGTGGTCAAAGGTGACAGTATCTTTTTTAATTTTTATTTTGAGACAGGGCTTACTAGGTAGCCCAGGCTGGCCTAGTTGGGGATTACAGGCATGCACTGCCTCACTGGCTAGAGGACAGCTTCTTTATCTGGACTTTCATATGGAATTTTAGGGAGTTTGCTGTGACCCCACCCTTTATCCCCGCTGTAAAGTTTAGCTGCTCACTACTGCTCTTTGGTGACTGTTTCCTGGTGTGTATGTGGGGTTGGGGGTAGGAGCCTGGGTCAGAGGCTAAGGAGTATGGAGCTCTGTGTTCAGGTGGGGCTCCAGATAGGAGTTGGGCCATAGGCTAAGGGCAGAGCAGCTGGCTTAAACTGAAGTCTCAGCACCCTGGGGACAGGGATGTTTAGGGAGATGTTATCTCTCTGAAAGTCATCTCTTAGACACTCTACCCTCACCTAAGCACTCCTGTGCAAACACATGGACACACAGACAGAGAGAGACCCACACCGGCACACGAACACATACAGGGATACACATGCACACATGGACACACATATGAACACAATACATACACACACTGACATATGGACACACATAAAACAGATACAGACAGAAAACAGACAGACAGACACAGATAGACACACACATGGACCCACAGACACACAGACAGAGACACAAAGCAAACACAGATACACATAGACTCAGATGGCATAGATACACACACAGACACATATGGACACGTGGACACACAAACACAAAACAGACTCACATAAGTGGACCCAAAACAGACACACACAGACACATGGACACACAAAGGCACACACATGGACATACACACAGACATATATGGACACATGGAGATACACAAACACACAGACACACAGACATAGCTACATATGGACACATAGACATACGTAGACACACGGACACACCTAGACATACACATACACACACGGACACACGCAGACACAGACACATATGGACATATGGAGATACACACGCACACACATTGACATGGACATGTGCACGTGTGCACAATTCACAGTTCCTTATTTCCTGTTCTAGGAGCATATGGTGATGGTGGGAACGATGGAGACTGGGAGAGGATACCGGTGAAGGGCTGTTCTGCGTTGGGCCTTGAACAGAACTAACATTGTACAGTTTCCTCCTATAACAGCTCTCGGCATGTTTTGTCATAGTTCAGAGAGGAGGAAAGGGGCAACTTGTCCAAGTCCATCTAGTTAGTGAGCTCAGATCTGAATTCAGACCAGCCTGGGGGCTTTCCCAGGGAGCTCTCAAGGGTGCTGAAGGGATGGGCAGAGCTGGACTTGGATTCCAGCTGCACTGTAGACTTGCTGTGTGGCTAGGCAGGCACCTCATCTTCTCTGATTTTTCTGTGTGTGAAATGGAGTGTGGACTGTTAGATAGATGGTTCTGCCCTCTCCAAGTAGATGTGGGTTCTGGTCAGCCAGAAGGAAGGATGCCAGCATTAGGAAAGGAAAGGGCTATAGCCTGACTGTAAAGCCTGCCCACAGAGCAGGGTGGAGGGGCTCTGGTCTCCCACCCAAAGAGATGTCTCTTCCTGCCCACAGCATGTGTGTCTGGGTTTAGAAGAGCCAACTGTTCCCCAGAAGTAAAGGGCCTCAAGACATCCAGGGATCATACCCAGCTCTGCCCTGATGTGGGAAATTGGGATCTTTTATAACCTCACACCAGATCCATGGAGCCACTGCCTTGGGGGGTGGGATTTGGCCACTAACTGTAGCTGCCCCCTTCTAGGTGATAGTACATACTGCATTGGGACTGGGGAGATGCCTGGAACAGGGGGATGCTTTGCTCTTGCCTAGCTCTGGAGTTCTGGGATGCATGGGTGTGAAAAAAGGCCTAGCCCCATCTTCATGGAATTTTGTCCTGATGAGGGCATGCCATCAGATAGTAATAGAGCTAGGATGAAGTATGACAGAAAGGTACCCATGAGGCACCATGGGGTTTGTGTGACAGGCTGCTGACCTGAGAATTTAGTGTATCCTGTACACTGCTTTTGACCTACTACATGTATTAAGTGGCTTCTCTCCTACAGCCCTGTAGGGAATACTTTGCACCCATTATACAGAGACTGAAACTGAGGCCCAGAGAAGCTCTGCCATCTGCCCAGGCCTGTACATTTCCTTGGCCCAGGTTTCTTACTGCTTCAAAGTGCATTCTTTGAGTTCCTACTGGATCAGGGTGTGCTGCCCTCAGGCAGTGATGTTGGAGCTGACTTGGGTGGGCAGGGAGCAGCCCTGGAGGCATAGTGGAGGCAGGCAGTGGGGAATATTTTGGGGGCAGAAGCAGTGCCAGGTGGTGTGGGGACAAGTGGCCTGTTTAGGGAATGACAGGGAGGGTTCACAAGGCACTCATGGAGGGGTTCTCAGAGTTCTGGGAGAAGAGGCCAGGTGGGCTGGGGCCAGGAGGGGCCACACGTGCCACCAAATGCCTTGTAGGTCAGGCTAAAGAGCATGCCCTTTTCCTCAGAGCAGGGAGCATGTTGGAGCACTGCACCCAGAGCTGCAGAGGGTCTGATTTGCATTGCAACAAGCAGATTCAAGAGTGACCACATTGCTGCTGCCCCTGATCAGACCGCAATAGGGCTTGGTCCAATGTGGGCACACTGGGGGGTATGGGCAAAGGGGGTGGGTCTGAGAGACTCCTGGGAGGTAGCTAAAAGTGCCTACGAGGAGAGCTAGCTGGAAAAGCTGTGTTTGGAGACAGGAGAGGACTAAGTCTAGGAAGGAGAAGAGAGGAGGGGAGGAGGGGAAGGGGGTGATAACTAATGACT